CATTGTCAGCCGTACGTTCAAGATACCATTGAAATTCTTCCACCAACCAACCGTTATAATCATATATGATACTCAATCTGTGAACAAACATATATGTATAATCATTTATGATTAGGCATATATGTATAAACATTTATAATCATATATGATTATACCTCTTTGCCATATAATCATTTATAATTAGGCATACCCCGCTGCTGTTGGTACGATATAGCGTTAGAAAGGTAAATGAGAAATATGTGTCTGAGGTTGAATCTCAAAATCTCTATTTTTTTTTTTTTTTTTGAATCTCAAGTGAACTAATACATATAATCATTTATAAATATGTGACTGATGTTTGAATGTAAAAAAAATAATAAATAAATAAATAAAATATATTTTATGTATAAATATCTCTGGGTCTTTATTTAATATAAAATACGGTTTTTAAATAACTAATACATATTTATACATAAAATTATGGTTTGAATGTAAAAAAAACATTGTATTTATACAAAAATATGGGTTTTCAATGAAAAAAATGTATTTATACGGTTTAAAATATATTTAAAAAATATTTATACGGTTTCAAATGGAAAAATGGTCAACACTGAAAAAATTGGAAAAATGATGTTTAATTTGGAACAAAAAATCAGAGTGTCAAAATTGAAAGAAAAAATTAAACTTAGTGTCAAAATCGAAAAAAAAAGTGTAAACTTAGTCTTTTTTGAGGGAAAAAAAATTCAATTTTGACATATCAGCATGTCGCGTCATCAAAACTGACATGTCACATCAGCAGGTAACCGAGTTGACCGGTCAAGTGGTCAGAATTGTAAAAAATTGGAAAACACAGTGTCAAATTAAAATTTTGGTGTAAATTTAGTATATTTTGTGCTATTTACCCAATTAATATATACAATTTTACTAATTTATAAATCAAATTTGGAGTCCGAAACCCTAAAACATAATAGATGCCATGTAATCATTTTCTTTCGTTTTTTTTCGATTAAGCGGCGATTGTCTTCTTATTTGCACATCGTTTTTGTCGCCGCAACAAAGTATGTATATACATTGTACTCATTTCTTCATTTTGTTTTACTTCCACAAATTGTTAAAGAAAGCAAAAACGATCAATGTTAGATCTGTTTAGATTTAAGAATATCGGATATCTATAGCATGACTTATTACCAATTGTTTCAAATCTATAAAACTAACGATTTTTTTACAGAAAATTGAAAAAGACTATCTATTCGATTGATTCTATCTGAAGAAAGAAGGCGTTACGACAAGTAAGTTTTACGATTAATTTTCTATTTTCTATTTTCTATATATATAAATTGACTAGATTATATATCTAAATTTGGGATGAGTTTATTGTTTCATTGAATTGCCCCAAAATTTCACTTGTTTTTGAAAATTGAAAACTGAAAATTCTATTCTTTTGTAATTTAGATTTGGAATTAGTAAACTTTATATTATTTGGTCTACAATTTTTTTTATTGTAAAATTGATTTTGGAAATGGATGCAATGGCTTTTTAGGACGATATGTATCCAAAAAGACATTTTTTTATAATTCTTTTCACAATGTTATTTTTTTATTTTTTTAACAGTTGGTTAAATTCACCAAATTAATTAATTTGCTTATGTTCCGGTTTGAACCATAGAACTCCAATCTAAGACAGAGGCTTCCATTCTACTTATTCTTTTACTTATTATTTGTTTTGTTCCTCCAAATCCTGTTTGTTTTTAATAAGATGTAAACCCGCTTCTCAGAATAATTGTTATTATTGCATTGAAATAATTCATATAAAAAAAAACTGATACCAAATCATAAACACTCTATTGTATGTTGGTTTAAGCAACATCTATCTAGCTAGCCACAAAATATCGTTTTTCAAAATTATTACATGGATCACTCTATTCGCTTACCCTAACATCACAGATCAAGTCTCCTGCGGTTGCCCTTCACATCGTGTCACCTGTAACTTGACACAATTGTCTTGGTCATACAAATAGTCAAGTTTTTCAATTTCTATGTAATCTTCATTCTATTTTTTGCACTAAACTCAATAAATTTACGTGTGATGCTTTTCATTTAAGAAAACATTGTCGTCTACCTGTCACACTATATAAAATATTCTTCATTCAACATAATACACACGGATCTTCGAACATCTCCAAACTTAAGCAAACAAGGACACATATATTATTTGTCGTACTCGATGCCTACTCTTATTTTATTTGGACATTCCCTCACAAATCTAAATAGCAACTATTTCCCATTTTCTCGGCTTCGAACACACCTCATTCAAGCCTCACTTTCACCATTCTTTTGGAACTATGCTCTGGGCATATCCACCTATCTTCTCAACATTCTTCTATTAACCAATTATAACATATTACGTGAACACACCTCATTCTATTTGCTTGTTTACCTTGTACTAGTAGTTTGTCAAAACATCAGTGTTTTGTAGGAAAAAAAAGTTCGTTAACCAATTATAATATATTCTATAATTAAATGTCTGTATTCATGGATAATGAGTATAATATCCGTACTTAACCTATAAGTTCACTCGAACTATGAGTACAATATTCGTACTTAAACAATCATCACTGGTTTGTTAATTCCAAAAAATATGCAGTTAAGCTTTGTTGTGAAGGATGACTCCCATAAGAAGAAATAAAGATAAACAAAAAATGGAGTCGGATGACAAGACTGAAATCAGGCCAGCTGGTCAGAGGGTTGTGCTCTCTAGGAGAATTTCTAGTATGTTCTCTTAAAATCATCTTCAACACAATAAACATTTTTAATATAAATATAACATATGTTATTCTTTATTTCTATTTTTTTTTTGTCGATGTAGTGCTTGTATCTCCATACAAAACTCTCGACAATTTCCAGTCACTTTTCAAGGTATCAAGGACAACATTTAGCTACATATGCTCAATCGTAAAGGAGTTCATGATGTCTCGAGACACTAACTCCATGTTCTTAGATGGAAAATCAATGTCCCTCAATGATCAAGTAGCCATTGCTTTAACAAGGCTAAGCTCGGTTGATCCCACCTCAAACATCACGAGCTTTTTTGGTACAAATTACTTGACTGTCCTTGACATAACCTCACGGTTCGTGGACGCGCTTAAGGTAGCCGGTGTGCACCACATTACATGGCCGCCAGATATGGCTCTGGTCAAGTCCTCATTTGAGAGGTCTGGCGGCCTGCCAAATTGTTGTGGCGCGATCAAGACCACTCATTTGAAGATGTATCCGCCTGCTTCTGAGCGTAGAGCAAAGCCATGTCTTGACCGCGAGAACAACCATAGCATGCTCTTGCAGGTGACTGCTAAATGCATAAAATAACAATGTACTTTTATTAATTATATCATTCTATGTTTTATATTTTTCTATTACAATGTTGTATTTTTCGAGGTAAATCACAAAATTGACACAAAATGTGGTGGTCCTATCATCATTTCACCACCTTTTTTAAATTTATCAAAAAATGACCATTTATTCTCTATATGCTTTTTTTTTTTTTTGCAAAATTGTTTTTCATGGCCCCGCTGTATTTTTCGCAAAAGAAAAAAGTGCAATTTTTATCAAGAAACTATGCCTCTTTCATGAAATTATTAAAAAAAAACCTTCAACATTTCTCTAGTGGGACCACCAACCGATAAAACAGTGTCACAAAAGAGTTATTATCTCAAGAAAGAGAGGTAATTTTGTGATAAAAGTTGAAAAGTTGGTCATTTGTGACCTATCGTTTCGATCATATTAATGATTACATTTTTTTTTTCTTATTAAGACATTGTATTTTGAAAAATCCATCTAATTATAGCCTTGTACTTTTAGTTTTTTTTCCTTATCAAGACATTGTACCTTGGGAAATCTCCTCTATTATTGATGTAAAATTGATTTGTATTTCAAGAATTTCCAAAATACAATGTTGTAATAAAAAGAAATGAAAGCATAATACAATAAGGAACGGGTAAATGAAAGCATGTTGTTATTTTTTGCATTTAACCATTACAGGTAATCGTGGACCCCACAATGCGGTTCATTGATCTGGTAGTAGGGTGGCCAGGAAATATGACAAATGACAGGGTGCTAAAAAAATCAACATTCTTTAAACTCACTCAAAAAGGAGAAAGGCTAAACGGGAACAAGATCGAGTTATCTGATGGAACAAAAGTTGGGGAATATATAGTTGGAGGGTCGAGTTTTCAGCTCTTACCATGGCTGATAACTCCATACCAAAATGAAGACCTAACAGGAGACCAAATCGAGTTCAACAAGAAGCATCTGGAAACCAGATTGTTTGCCAATCGGGCGTTGAAGAAGTTGAAGGATGTTTGGGCGGGAGTTGATGGCGGCATGTGGCAGCCGGATATGGATAAGTTACCGGTGATTGTTTTAGGGTGTTGTATTCTTCATAATATTTTGATTGAAATGGAAGGTGATGGGGTGTCTGATGTGTCGATGATGTCCGGTGACCATGACCCCGGGTATTCGCCGGAGAAAAGCGCGGTGGTTCATGGTGGTGGTGCTGTCATCAGAGACAAACTGTGTCTCCACTTGGCCGGAAAACTTGTGGCTTGAGTTGGGGTTTATGAGATGCCATTCAGATACTTTTTTTTTCTGGTAGAATATAAAGATATGGGAGTCTTGGTTGTGTTTTGCTTTAATATAATATATACTTAAAAACTTCGGGTTTTTCGGTTATTATATATATCAAAAATAAATAGAAGCTAATTTTTTTTTTCAGAAAAGAGAAAATAATCCTTTGGCTTTTCAAAAAATAATTGGTTTATCGGTTTATATTTTTTTTGCACAATCTCTGTAAAAGAAAATACTCAAATACATTTTTGCTTGTTAAAAGGGTAACTTAAATACTTATAATTTATTAAATTTCCAAACATGCGTTTATAAAATAAAAAATCGACATCTGTCATTATTACCTTCTACATTATTTGAAAGATTTACAAACGAAGGAAAAATATACAACGGAATAGAATCGAATTCCATTCCATTTCCTAACAGATTCCGTGACCCAATCTTGTAACCATTTTACACCAAATGAGCAAATACAAAATTCCTTTGCTATGCTGAAACCGATTCATTCTGATTCCCATTACCAATGGCCAACAGGAATCTCTCATTCCATTCTTGCTTTAAAGAATCCGGAATCGGATTATCACCAATAAAAGCATCCCAATTTTGCCCTCCACTACTAGCAATAACCCAATTGATCTTGCTTGGAGGACTAGTGGTAAATGATGATGAACCTTCATCCTTTTTCAAAACACTTTTCTTCCATGAATCATATGAACCATGATTCTACACAAATAAAAAAACATTTCCAAATTATATAAGTTTATATAAAATTCAATCAAAACACAAATTCAACCTTTATAGAATTGCTTAATTTAAAAGCCTTGGCAATTGGTAAATTATTTTCTCTAAGCTCTTCAAGTACTACAGATAAAGGTGCATTTTCTTCAAGTTCTGCTATGTGCTTCTGGACAGCTGTCAAGGATCTGAACTTCTGTCCAGTCCCTGGCTCATAATAATACTACAATATAAAAAATAAAAGAAACTAATTAATAAAATAATATGATGTGAATATTAATTATTAATTAATAATTACCCTGTCAATATGGTCTCCAGTTTTTCGGGGGACTTCCTCTACAATCCAACCATCAGGGAGAGTGAAAGTTGAGGAGGATTGAAAACTTGTGGGAGTTACATTTACTAATTGATATTGATTATATTTATCCTCTTCAAAATCCAGCCTCTGTAACATCATTTAAAAAAAAAATTGGTAAAATGTATATTTTTGTAGAATATTATTATTATTATTTGGTTTTAGTGCACAGTTAAAAGGTTACCTTTCCTCTAGAGACAATTTTCTTTCGACTACTGCAACTCTGCAGATGCTAAAAGAAGAAATAAATAAATGAATTAGTGAAAATCTTATACATATGTTTAACTTAATAGAGGATAAAAATGTCACCTTTTCATGGTATTTTAGCCTCTTGGTGGTTGATTTAGTAGATGTAGATCCTTTTGTAAGGTTCCTCTCAACATCTTTTAAAGATCGGAACTTTCGTTCAGTATTTGGATCATTGTAATACTGCAGAATAGTATTAAAAAAGGTTTCATACTTTCATTTCTTTTAGTGTATTACAGTATTGTAGTTTATACTTTATAAAATCCAATTTAATCTGAGCAATGTTATCTAAATACAAAGCAATTATCAGTGATATAATTGGATTAAATTTTGTGATAAATGTAGAAGGCTAAAAGTACCAAAAGAGAAAGAAGTAGATAAAAAGCTTACATTTGCTTGAGATGTAATCATCTTCAGATCCAACGTATTCTGTAAAATATGCAGAATAAAGGCAAGTTACAGTTATGGAAACTACTTCTTTTTGTTAAAATTTTGAGAAGGAAATAAATCTCACCTTAATTCTGTAAGCAAGTCTCAAAGGCCTGGATCTAGTAGCTTTATATTCTTCAACATTCAAGTATCTCTTAACCTCTCTTCTAGATCGAAATTTGCGCCCTGTTTCTGACTCAATGTAATACTGCAAAATACGATGACAATAATTTTAATGCAATTTGCACATCTATATGACGTTAAAAGCCAAAATCGAGATTTTACGAGTTTGAGAGCCCGTGAATTGAAGTATTAGGTTACAAGCCAAATCAATTAAGCTGATAGGTTTTACATATTGCTAAAAACTCCATTCAAACCATAACCATACTAATACCACAAAAAGGGGGAAAACTGAACTTTGTATTAAGAAGAAACGCAATGAATTAAGTACAATTATGATGCATTTCACATGAAAGTTATGTGCACTATGTACTTAGAGACCTTGTCGACGCGAAGGCCATCGGAGCGGGGGACCGGGTGGACGAACCAGCCGTCAGGAAGAGAAAACGGTGAGGATAAAGGAGTGATCGCAGAAGAATCTGAATTAGAAATGGAATGTGAAATAGGAGTTACAACGTCGACAACTGCAAGTTGACGTTGTAGGGCATAATCATTGTCGTCGGTGACCGGCTGCGCCTTTCGTCGGGAACTGTAACACAAACTCGCCATCGTAACACAGTAGAACTAAAGCAATGGCATTGTTCGTCTTCATCCGGCAATTATTGGGTTTCTCGCGCATTATATAGTGTTTGGGCCAAATAATTCAAGTTGGGCTTTATACGGGCCCAACCGTTTATGTTAGTAAAACAATTATAATATTTTATTTATGAAGTTAAAAACGATTTTAATACCAACTTTTAATGTAAAACATCTCTCT